ATATATAGTTTATTAAAAAAATGGCATGCCTCTACTTTTTCTATATGTCCTCTATATAGCTTATTAAAAATCTATAACTATTAACTATATATCTTATTAAAAAATGGCATACTCCATTTTTTTCCTATATGTCCTTTTATTTGATCCAGGATCTTGCAAAGTCAAATGACATTTAATTATTACTTCTCTTTAGTCTCCTGAGGGCTAATTGTTTTTCCATCTTTCCTTACCTTTCATGAACTTGACATTTTTGAAGAGCACTGACAGATCTCTCTTGTGTATACCTCAGTTTGAGTCTCTCATGACTGAATTAAGTTTGTGCATTTTTTTGTAAAAATACAACAGAAACAATATTATGTCCTTAGTACATCATATCACGGGCTCCAGAATGTTGATGTGTAGTTGTTAATCATGATCATTTGCTTATGATGGTTTCTCCTGTGCTCTTCATTGTAAAATCACTCCCTTTTAGGGAATGAATATTTTGTTCATGCATTTTTTTGATACAAGCCCTCCTAAAGCATTATCCTTGGGGACCTAGGAGGCAGTCAGTCTCCACTCTAGAACTGGCATTACCTAAGCGTGCCCATGCGGTCTCCTGAAGCTAAATGTTGTCCATTGGGGCTGATACAAACAGAGCGAATGCCTACACGGGGATCCATCAGCGACCCATCAGCTTTGTCTCCTCCAGGTAGCTCAGTGTCCAACAACGCCTGAGTGTTCCCATCCACATAGATGATCTTAATGAGATCCTAATGGGAGAGATAAGAAGAGATGGATAAGGTAATTTTGACACTGCACAGCTGTAAGCATAGAGTAATGCTGTAACCCTAAACTTATAGAGGCCAGTCAAATAAAAGTGGAATGATCCAAGATCAGGGTCCCTAGTCAAAAGCTGTGGACATGGAGGTACTAAGTATGAAGTGGGGGCCCCAGGCTCACATTGCTGAGGATGTTTCGGTGCAGGGTAGAACCATGTACTCCGGAGCTCTCTGTGTTCCACAGGCGGATGGTGTTGTCTGAGGAACAGGTAATAAAGGAACTTGGGGGCAGGCAGGCCTGGTTACTGTCCTTCACCTCAGGATAGACCTTAAGGGACAGAGGGAAAGAGTTAGCCCTCCATTTGAGAGGCAGTCCTTCCTGCTCAAAGAGATAGAAACAGGAATGAAATCTAAGACAGAATGCTAAGACTTAGCCAGATGCACGACATATAATAAGGAAGTTATATACTCTACAGTGTGAAAGGAAAGCCCGTGAACCTAGCACCTCCTATGTGCCATGATGCCTCAGTTACATCATTTCATTTTATTGTTAGAACAATTACATGAATCAGGGACATCATTTTACAGTTGAAGAATCCAGATGAGGCTGAATCCAAGATAAGGGAAAACTAAAGACAGACAGAAGCACATAGACTGAGATCCATCAAGCATCAAGCTCAAGCCCCAGGATGTCATTGGAGAAGCAGAGAGGCAGCAGGAATATAAGGTTATATTTAGGGTTCCTCACTTTCTGTCCTCACAAAGGTATTCAAACATATCCTATCAGTCTCCAGCCAGCCATCTCACGTACCTCTACACTCCAGACACAGGAGGAATGATACAGAGCTGAGTACACCTTGCCCACTTTCTTGGGGTCCCTCACATCCCAAACATAGATGCTGTGGTCGTTGTATACACAAGATAGCCATTGATTAGCTGGATCAAAGGTCAGGGCAATGGTGTCTGGATACCTGGCATTGACCCCTCCAGAGAAGAGGCGACTGTGGGAGAGAAGACAAAACGTTATGAAGAGAAGGCAACTCATGAAGGGACAGAGCATGAGGCACTCTCTCCAGACCTACAGATTTGAAAGTAAACCCTGAGAGAAAAAAAGTATCCCTTAAAAGACACTATCTGGGAGTGGACCCAGCACTAGCTGCTGCGTATGGTGTTCTCCAAATGAACACAAGTTCACAGAACACCACTATTAGGCAAGGCAATTCTGTGGTTACATGGTTCTATAATTATGTCTGTACAGAGACAAAACAAGATCACCATACAAACCACAAAAATGGGGTTGGTAATACACCGCAGTGGTACAGCGAGCACTTGTCTAACATGAAAGGCCCTGGGTCCTATCTCTAGCACCTCAAAATCACCATCATCACCATCATCACCATCATCATCATCATCATCAACTTAAGGCATTTGCCTAACCACAAAAATAATCAAACATCACCTTTTTTCCTTCTAGCATGATTGATGGCTATGTTTTTACCATATCACAGCTTCACCCCAAATCTTTCCCTCTAGTGTTTAAAGATTATTAAGACATCCAACTGTAAAACTGATCCCATTTCCTAACATCATCCAATCAGATTTCCTTTTTTTAATTAAAATATTTATTTTTATTTACGTGTATGTGTCTGTGTAAGTGGGTGAGTGTATACATATGAGTGCAGTGTTCATGGAAGCCAGAAGAGGGTATTAGATCCCCTGAAGCTGGAGTTACAGGTGGTTGTGAGCTGCCCAATGTGGGTGTTAGGAACTGAATTTGGGTCCTCTACAAGAACAATGCATGCCCTTAACCACTGACCCATCTCTTTAGCCCCTTTGAGCAATTCTTAAAATCATCTAAGATAAACCCCGATTTTTTTTAACAAGCTCTTCGTTACATTCACTGACAGAGACAGTCCTCCATAGTATGCAGTTTCCTTGGTTCTGACAAGTACTGAGAGACACAAAGCTGTCTACAAAGATGTTCCTGGTAATTTCTGGTAATGTTCCCTGAAGTATGGAGTGATGCTCTGAATGGAGACAGGGGGCCCACATAGCTCACCTGGCCTCAGTGATGCTGGCAATGTCTGTTCCGAGGGCATGGGGTCTAGGTAGGGTGCTGAGGAAGTGCAGGTTGGAGGGGTTAAAAAGGCGCACAGTGCCATCCGCACAGCCGCAGAAGATGTACTCGTGGCTCACAGAGATACAATGAGCCACTGTGGTCTGTGGGCAGAGTGGGTCAGATCAGTAAGGGGTATCTGCCTACTCAATCTTGTCTTTTCCTTTTCAACCCCTTAGCAGTAATCTCTTGTGAAAGGAAAGACTCGACAAGGTGGGAGCAAGGGAAAAGCAGTCCAGTTGCTCTGTCCTGAGCCCCTCAGCTGTCATTGAGAGATGCCCTCCCTCAAGCAGCTTGTAGCCAGAATACCTACAGCCCTGCACAGTTGCGTTTTGGGTAGAAATCAGGGAACTTCTAAGGGATCAGAGGGACCAATGGGATAAAGTAGGAAAATCTTGGCAAGGAGGAGGAAACAGCTAGAAGAAAGGACTAGGGGCACTTACTGTGAATCTGTCTGTGTTCTGAGCAGAAGAGGAAAGCAGGGGAGAGAGACAGAAGAGAAAACGCAAAGAAGGCAGGTCACTGGGGCTGGCCCCGAGTCTTCTCCTAGAGTCCCCTCCTGCATGCACAAAGGCCTAGCTCCTGGTCTAGAGTTCTAGCACCAGTTCCTCGCTGATTTGAAACAAGAGCAGATTCTGTCCTGGAGCCAGAGTTACTTACTCTTAGCTCCACCCATTTGTCCAGAAGTCTTCGATCACTGAACTCGCATAGCAGCCCTGAGGATGTGATACAGAAGGTGCTGTCTGCCTTTTTCCCTCGGCCACAGGCCACATCAGTGAACAGGTTGTTCCGCAATTCCCCCAGCAGCCCTGAGCGGCCCAGCAAGGGCACAGTGGCATTCACCTGTAGAGATATACCACCATCATCTCTATCCATCCCAGAACCTGCTTCTGGAAGCAAGATGCTCAGGAGGAGAGGGCAAGCACAAGCTCCCCTGCTCTTTGAGACTACTCCCTGGCCTAGACAGATTTAGTTCATCCAAAATTTCTGTGTGACTGCTGAGAAGCAGAGGGCAGTCAAGTGAAGCTGAGCTTCAGATTCTCACCTTTGAGGTCTTACTGTCATCAAGGTACCAGAATTTGATGTGCCGGTTGCCAGCAGTGACAAAGTAGCTGCTGTCTTCAGAGAAGGATACTGCTGTCACCCGACTGGACACCTTGTTGGAGGCCACTACAATGTTTTTCTGGAGGAAAAGTAAAAAAAAAAAATCAAAGCTCTGTCCTGTGGGGCTAAAAAGAAAGTTCTCTAAGAATGGAGAAGAGCTAGCAAGAATTTCTACTTGAAAAAATGTTTCTAGAGTTTTCTGGTCAGATGCCTGGCGTGGTGGCACACACCTTTAATCCCAGCCTTGGGAGGCAGAGGCAGAAGCAGAGGCAGGCAGATCTCTGTGAGTTCAAGGCCAGCCTGGTCTACATAGCAAGTTCCAGGCCAGCTGGGGCTACAGGGAGACCCTGTCTCAAAAAGACCCAAAAAAGAATTTTCTGGTGAGAAAAAAGGATGGGAGAAAATCCTTTTCCAGAGGAATTCAAAGGTTTAACTCCTTAGGTACATGGGAAGATATACAGCTAGCCCCTCTAGCAACATGCTTGGCACCCAGTCACTACTTTATGCTTCAAATAATTTTCAATCATGAGATGGAAATCAGCAAGGGGGAGTGACGTAGCTCAGGTTAGCAGTTTCCTGACTCCCCACTGCCACTGGAACTCCTACAAGGAGGTCAAGGCTATCCCCCCCAGCCCACTTACCTTCCAGGACCAAACGTTGACAATCATATCATGCTGGTAGCCCACGGAGACTATGTACTTGGCACTAGGAGAGAATGCCACACAAGCCACGCCATACTTATGCTCTTGTAGCTCTGCCACCTGGCTACATTCAGCTACATCCCAAACCCGCACGGCAGGCATGTGCCCACTCTACAGGGAAGCAAGAAGAGAGGACTGTAGAAAGGTGTGCAGCTGCCTTAGTCTTTCAGGGTGAGGGTCCTCACCTCTTCAGCTTCTGAGCACCATTTCTTTAATGGCCAACAGGCAAGAGCACAAAGGCATAGAAGAGGCACAATAAGTATCTGAGGGCACCAACAATTACCAGGATTTCAGTATCCCATACCTCTGTATTTGGTCAAAGTTCCATGAATTTTTACCTGATTCTGGTAAACAGCCAGGCCTAAGAATTATTACCATCCATGTCTATCTACTTCTGCCCCTGTCTCCCTGAAGACTGAGGGTAGAGGTATTCCTGGTATGCCCAGCAGAGGGCATCTAGAGATAAAGAATGTTTTAGGGTGGTGGTGGTTTTCAAAGTGTGAGCATTAGCTAGGAACTGCAAAAAAAGCTGTCTGGGGTCTGTGTACCTGAGGTAAAAAAAAGAAAGAGCTTGTCACCTAGCTTGTCAACCTGAGTTTGAGAGCCCACTCCCCCACATTTAAAAATTTTTTTTTTTTTTTTTTTTTTTTTTTTTTTTTTTTTAAGAAAAGCCATCTGGGGAATCCCAGTACAGAATCAGATAACTCTGGGAACAGGTCCAGCCCTGTGCCTTCCCAGTGGTTCTGATGCACATAAATGCTTAAGAACCATTGCCTAAGGTACAGCAAAACCCAAATTTTGGGAGCTAGGCATGGTGGTACACACCTTTAATCTCCAGCACTGGGGGACAGGGGTAAGAGGCAAGTGGATCTCTGTGAGTTCGAGGCCAGTCTGGTCTACATAGTGAGCTTGAGGTCATCCAGGGCTATATAGTGAGACCCTGTCTCAAAAAAAACCTCCAAAAACAACCACACGCGCACACACACACACACACACACACACACACACACACAATCAATCAATCAATCAAGCAATCAATCAGCATTTAGGATCAGTTCAAGAAGTCAAGTGACAAGAAGCCCTAACTAGACACAGGATTGTGGCTTTCTGTTGAGAGCAGGATACCCTCCCTCCACAATAATACTGCCCTTTTCCTTACTCACCTCTCCAGTGACCAAGTACTTGCCATCAGGGGAGAAGGCAAGGGCCGTAATAGTTTTCCTATAAGAGATAGAACAGGCTTGGTTGGACCTGGCAGACTGACTGTACCTTCTCTCCCTCCCGCATAGTTTCTCCCAAGGTAGGACCAGCAGACTCAAGGGCATATGTGGCACTTCTCTATCTGGCTTCAGGGCTAAACAAAGTCAAGTCCCCAGAGCCCCAGGCCCTTGACCAAGGGCTTCACACAGCTCCTAGAAGGAAAAAGTGTTCCTTAAGACCAGGTCCACATACCTGGAACTGTTGAGGATATGGTGTTGTTTGTGTTTCCTGGGATTGAACAGTACAACCACACACCTAAGGAGATGAATGAGACATCAGGCTTAGCACCAAACCATAGCTCCTCAAGAGCCTACTCGGCTAGTAGTCATCCAGCAGAGCTAACAGGTCAATCAAGTTCAAAGGGACTCCACTGCTTTCTCCTGATAGCCTGTCCTTGTTTCCTTTCCCCACCCAAGAGAGTATCTCAGCAGCTCCAGAGGGTACAAAGGCTCTCTGTGGAAGCTATTCACTAGGAACCTAAACACCAGCTGTGTCTGATTATATCCACAAAGGGCAGCAGAACGCAGGCCTTCCCACACAACTTTTGCACATATCCCAGGAAGAGATACAAAATGGAAGAATAACGTGATTTTATCAACTTAGGCTTCACGTTGCAGTCAGTTCTCAGGCTTAGAGCCACATGTGTCAATCATTTGTGCATAGAAGGTATGCTTCCTGCCATTGGTTAAGGAAGAACATGGGGGATGTTCAGGGTGCTAGAACTGCAGGGAGGCCCAGTAAGATGGGGGTAGGGGGAGTAGAGACAGCTTGAGAGGGCCTTGGGAATGCGTTATAGTGCTTTAGGGCTTCCAGCTGAGCCAAGGAGTCCTTGGTTCCAGAGCCTAAGAAGGACCTTCTGACACCAGAAGACAAGCAGAGACTCTGTCCCCCTTTGCAGAGAAGGGCAGAGGCAACCTCTACAGCTAGGGGGGGCAGGGCTGCCAGATGGGATCAGATCCAGACTCACTGTCCAAAAGCAGCTCTGGGGAGGGAAGCTAGTTAACAGGCATCAATGACAGTAAGTTGGAAGCCAAGGGCCAGACAGTATTCTTGGTGGGCTCCTTGGCTATGAGCGGGCCTCAGTCTATTGTCCACCTGCTAATCTCTTCATTCCCACTGGGGCTAGCTAACAAGAGCTAGTCTGGAGGCTGCTATGCCAAGGAAAGGGAAGGAGGAGTGAGCAGACAGCTAGTTCCCCCAAACCTGAACTTCTGTAGTGAGAAATTAGAAGAGGTGTAAGGTACTAACAAGTGCTAAGCATCTTAGGCTCAATAAACAAATTCAGTGTACAGAGTCTCACATGTTCTTCTCTGGAGATACTGGGACCTCAAGGAGGCCAAACATGTCCAGAACTTTCAGACTGACCAACAGGTTTGAAGTCATGCATCCTTTCACCTCTAATTCCCCTTATCAACCCTTCCTCAACTGTTTTATTTCTTCTCTCCCATTCTTTTCTGTTCCCTTTTCCTATTTCTTTCTCCTTACACTTCTTACACTAACTCCCTTCTAGAGTACCATGGTCAGGAAGGTTTTAAGTATGACAAAAGCCACATAGAGTGGCATACCCCTGTCATCACAGTACTTGGCAGGCTGAGGCAGAAGAATCATAAGTTTTGAGAGCAGTTTGTGCTACATAGTGAATTTGAGGCCAGTCTCAAAAATATAAAATAAAATACAACAAAATCAAGATGGTTCTAGAAACTTTGTGCCCTATCACTTTTGAACAGGAATATGAAAAATACTTGTCAATTATAGTTCAGACTTTATGAATACAGATATTTATATTCTAAGATTTTATTTAGTAGGTGCCAAATAATACCCTCTAGGCCTGCCATCATCAAATTTAGAACCTAGAGAGTTTTCTATGACTAGCTGCTATTTTCTGAACCTTCTTATAATTATGTGACCTGCTAAAAGGCCCTCTCCAGGCTCCTCTCTAGCAAAGGTGGCTAATCTGTTAGGTTACAGCTTTTTGATTGCTAACAGATGAACAGTGGTGAAGGGCTTCTACTCTCTTGAGATAGAATTCATCTAACTGAAATAAGGACACACAATTTAGCCAAACACATTCCAAATACAGAAAAATTCAGTGTTGAGGGCTTTACAGTAAGCCTCCCTTAACCTTATCATCCGAAAGCAACACAGCAGCCTCTAAACAGCACTGTATTTGACTACTTTATTTAAAAACTTCAACCAGGTATGGTGCCACATGCTTCATATCCTAGGAGTTGGGAGGTGAAGGCAGGAGAATCAGAAATTCAAGGTCATCCCCTGCTAGAGTGAGTTTAAGACCAGGCTGGATTAAGGGACTATGTGAGATCCTGTCTCAAAAATAAAATAAAATAAAAGCCTTTTTTCCACTACATACGAATTCTGAGTCCGTATGCAATACAACTTCCTATGTTCCCTCTATTTCCTAAATTCAGCTTCACAGTGGAAGGAGAGCAACAATGTGCATGTGGTGTGTGTGTGTGTGTGTGTGTGTGTGTGTGTGTGTGTCTTCCTTTTTGCTCTCCTTGCCTCAGTATAGCATAGGGAATTTTCAGACATAGCAAGGGAGGGAAACACAGATAGAGGCCCTTAACCTGACTTTTTACTTAGATTTGGAACCTACCCAACACACACACACACACACACACACACACACACACACACACACATTCTGGGGGCGGGGGGAGGGAGAGGAGAGGGAGAAAGAGAGACAAAGAGACAGAGACAGAGAAACAGAGCACACTCCCATGTATAACCCCCATAGTCACAGCTCCTGGGTGGGGAATGCAACGCAGATGCTGAAGTGAGTGTAGAATATTCAAATCTCCCTGTGTATAGTTTGACACCCTCCCAATTGAACAGGAGGACCTATTTTCAAAACGTCTGAGGAGCCTCCTCGGTCTTCTTCATGAACTTTAGAAAACAACTCCGTCAGCTACGGAGAAGGTGGGGCACAACTGGCACCAGTCATTGGCTTTTTACTTCCATGTCCCTGACAGACAGGGTGAGCCCTTGCAGCAACACTCACTGAAATCCTCAATGTAAGAGCACTGGGTTGGGATGACCCAACAGGTCGACTCCTGTAACTCAGAACTTGAGGGTACAGAGAGATTGCTCATTCTCACAAGGAGAGAGTAAGGCCTCAGTCCCTGCAGGCCTCAGTTCAGGGGAGTCATACTGTGGCATACCAGTGCCAGGAAGAGCTAAGCCCTTCCCATCCCTGCACAGGCCTAGGCTTGCTGCATTCTCACAGAATATATCTCCTACCATTCTCCATCCTCCAGAAGGTAGAGCCAAATGAATGCCAGGATGAGCCATGACTGAATCAGAACATAGGGAACAGGCCCAGAGGGTTCAATCAGAAACAATGTCTTCAAATTTCTTCTTTTAGAGTAAGTAAAATCAGAGGGGATTCAGAGGCACTACTGAAGGTCGTTCAAGTATAACTCAAATGCCACCCTCTAATACTATTATAACCCTCACCCTACACATTTTCTATTGTACTTTACCATTACTGCTGATTCTCCAAAGCATAGAACAACTAGTAATTTTCAACATAATTTACTTTGGGGGGGAGTATCTATCACTAAATTGCCAGCTCAGTGAAGACATTTTTCTGTTTTGTTTACTGTTAAATCCCCAGCTCCAGGAAAATAGGCACTCAGTATTTGTGAAGGCATGAATAAAGCTTTAAGTCACTAACAAACCAAGCATGGAGGTACATGCCTTGGGGGTAGGTAGAGGCAGGCAGTTCAGAAGTTCAAGGGTTATATAATGAGCTCAAGGCCAGTCTAGAATACAGGAGAGCCTGTCAAAAGAAAGATAGAAGAAAGGAAAGAGAAAAGAAAGAAAGAAGCATTAAGTCACTGGCTAAAAGGCCTTAAAACTTTGCTGAGAAACCTCTCAGGTAGCAGACATAGACCTATGAACTAGAGTCATAGGGGCAGGTCCACAGTTCTCCCAAGGCACAGGCATGACTTGCTGATACCCAAAGGCAATACAGTGGTAGAAAGATGAAGAATATTGTGTCAAATAGATCTGTCTATTAATAAACTGTGTGGTCTTGAACTTGTTGCTTTACTTTTGAAAAGTAAATCTCAATTTCCCCATCTGTAAAACAGAAGTAATATCCACCTCACAGAATTATTGCATGCAAAGGAATCATCATGGTGCTTGTAACTGGGCAAAGTGGTGAATGCCTTTAATCCCAGAAAAGGAAACAGAGATAGGCAGATCTCTGTGAGATGGAGGCCAGCCTGGTCTACATAGCAAATTCCAGGCCAGCTGGGGTTACAGGGAGACCCTGTCTCAAAACAAAACAAGCATGGTGTTTGTAATAGTCCTTCCTTATTGCCAACTTGACTTAATCACCACAGAAACACACCTCTTGGAATGTCTATGAAGATGTTTCCAGAAAGGTTTAACTGAGGAAGGAAGACCCCCCACCCCATGTAGACAGCAGCACTCCATGGCTTGGGATCCTGAACTGAATGAAAATGAGAAAGCAGGTGGTTGGAGAGATGGCTCAGTAATTAAGAGCACTGGCTGCTCCTGCAGAAGACCCTGGTTCAGTTTCCAGTACCCACATGGCAGCTAACTACTGTCTGTAACTCCAGTTCCAGGGGAATCCAATGCCCTCTTCTGGCCTCCGTGGGTATTGCACACACAGGTACACTTAACATGCAGGCAAAATACTCATCTACATAAAATAAAGTTTAAAAAAGAAAAGAGAAAGCAAGCTGAGCATGAGTTTTCACCTCTTTCTGCAATATGACCAGGCACTCCACATCTCTGCTGCCACAACTTTCCTGCCATAACGGACTATACTCTTAAACCATGAGCCAAAACAAACCCTTCCTTCCTTAAGTTGCTTTTGTTAAAGCAATGAGAAGAGTTAACTAACACAGAAAATTGGTACTGGGATTAGGGCTGTTGTTGCTATGATAAACCTAAGTGGTTAATAAGCTTTTGGAATTGGTTTGTGGGGGGAGAAATGTGGAAGAATGTGGAGCTGCAGGCTAGAGAAGCCCTAGGATGCAGAGCTTAAAGGACCATTCTGGTGGGAGTTTGGAAGATCAGCTAAGAGAAATGTAGGAGCTAGAGAGATGACTCGGTAGTTAACAGCACATACTGCTCTCCAGAGGACCTGAGATCAGTTCCTAGTACCCACATGGGGTGGCTCACAACTGCTTGTAACTCCAGCTTGAAGGGATCAACACCCCTGACCTCTTTGGGCACCTTCACTCAGGAGCACAAACCCACAG